GCTGAGGCAGCCCTTAGAGGGAGATGGGTGGGGGAGAGGCAGTGCAGGAGATGCAGGAGAGGCAGTGCAGGAGATGCAGGAGAGGCAGTGCGAGTTTTCATGAAGCTGAAGCAGTTCTGCAGAACTGTGAGGAGAGGCAAAATCTGATGTGAAGTTACAGCTGTCAGTAAGTGACAGTATATTTACCTCCTATTACTCCTGCCAGCCTTTCCGGCAACGGAAAAGCCATAACAATAACAGGTTTTAAGATGAGAGTGACTATGAAGGGCACTGCTAAAATCTTAGGTCCCTGCAATAACAGAAACATTTGTGGGGTAAAATTCCTGGCTGGTGTGAGTATGCTCCCAGTGAAGGCAAGTAACAAACCCAAGGGTGTTTATCTGTTCAGAAATACAAAAGCTGCTGAGAAACACTGAAAAAAAACCTCAAACAACAAGAAATCTAGAGTCTAGGTTATCAGAGGAGGGGAACCTGAGCATGGGATCGTGTACATATGTTTAAAGAAAGGTGAAGTAGCATCCTTTCTGCTGTCAGAGAATCGAGGTAATGCAGGTTGGAAAGCATCTCTGCCTGTCTTCATTGGCACATGCTGGGATTTTTATTAAAAAGCTCTGATGTTGCACACAGTGGCAGAAGCGAGGGAGGCTGTTACCCTTTGTGTTTCTGATTCATCAGTACATAGTTCTGGACAGAAGGTGACAGCCCTTTTGCCATTTCCCACTGTTTGCAGTGCATGTTTCCCACCTCATCATGCTGGTAGTGACTGGGTAGGAGTGAGCGATTCTTGGAAATCTTCCTAAGTGCTGGATGCTGAAGGGAAGTTTCTGTGGTGTAACGTGTCAGGGTCACAGAATTATCTTTTTTCACAGCAAGTAATTTTGAAGTATTCCACACTGTGTCTTATGTGGGCTTTTTCTTTTTTTTTCTTCATAACTCAGATGAACCCAAAGGTAAAATCAATGACTGGCATGGTACAATCCTTCTTTAAAAAGAAGAAAAAATAAAAAAATCCACAACTTTAAGAGCATGAGAGGAGGGGAAAAAAATAAACTTCTTATAGTTTAAAAAACCAAAGCCCCAAACGAAGTGTCAAACAGTGTCAGCCCTGCCCTCTAGTGCTGCCAGCAGGTAAGAGGGGGTTGCGAGGTTCGCAGCAACATTGTCCAGGGCCGTGCTCAGCTGATTTATTTTTTTTAAGGCATATTAGAGTGTGAAGTTTTTTTGTGTTTGTTTTTTAGGAGGGTGGTGGTGTTTATAGTGTTTTCATAGGCTTTTGATGTAAGACTTTTGTTTTCATAGGCTTTTGATGTAAGACTTTATAGTGTTTTCATAGGCTTTTGATGTAAGACAACCAAAATCCACCTCAAGCTTTGGTAGATGATGGGCTCTATAAAAAAACCCCCTGAAATATCTTGAGCGCCTAAGATAATCATTATGATAAAAATTTAAATAAGCTGCAAAAGAGTAAGAGTGTTTGTCATTTATGATTAACTGAAGCTTCCTCTCCACAGTATCGAAGGCGAGTATGTTCCTGTGGCAGGCGATGAGGTCACCTACAAGATGTGCACCATCCCTCCGAAGAACGAGAAGCTTCAGGCGGTGGAGGTGGTGATCACCCATCTAGCTCCTGGAACCAAGCACGAGACCTGGTCGGGGCATGTTGTCAGCTCTTGAGGCGTCCCAGGGGGAGCGCAGCTGCTGCCTGTGTGGTCACTGCTCAACAACTGGCTGCAGGGGACCTGTCCTAAGAATATTCTACGTATTGTGCGGGAGGAAATACTGCATTGTCAATAAAGCAGAAGCAGGCCAAAATTAACAGCTGGCCTGGAAAAAAAAAAAGGCAATTCAAATACTAAGAAAAAAAATCTAGTGTAACGTGTTTACAAAAAATGTATTTTAAAGAGACCTAGTTTGTGTGCTTGGTGGAGCGGGGGAGGTTTGGTTTTTCTTTCATCTTGTGAACTGATTCCAGTAAATGCCCAGGGGAATCGGGGAGAGGTTTGAAGGAGAGCTCTTCTAGCGCAGATATGACTCCGAGACCCTGGAGGTGTGTGAGCACTGTGTTCCCTTGAGCTGCTGCCCTTCTGTAAGGGTTGGAGTACAATTATTGCTGATAACAGTGCCTGAATGCCTTGGCAGGAGAGAGAAGGAGGCTTTCATTGCTGCAATTTGTTTTCCTCGTGGAAGGAAGCTCACAAACAGAGCAGCTGCCGCAGGGTGGCAAATCTCCATCTGGTGGTTACGCTCCGGTGGCCATGGCTAGGTGCCCTTCAGGTGCGCCGTGTGCAAACGGCTTGTCTGCGTAGGTGTGCGATGTTGTGGTTTTAAAGCCTGGATTGTTTGTGAATTTACTCTAGGTGCCTTGATGGTTGATTAGCAAAAGATTTTATAGGCCAGTATTAAAAAACAAACAAACAAGAAAAAACCCCAAACAAACCCAAATAAAAAAAAATTGCTTCAAGGTAAGTGGTAGAAAGCTGTAGAGTAGTGGATACTTCATAGCCTCTGACTGTGTCTGAATTTAGACAAAGCTGAGGATTACCTTCTTGATTGCATACAGTTGAATGTCTGCCATGGTATTTCACTGGGCAGGCAGAATAACTCTACTTCTGAAAAGAAAGTTATATGCTGTTCAGATGACCATGTATAAAATACTGTGCGAGTATTAACAGGCTCAGCTCTCTTGGTGAAGTAGATTCTGCAGCTGTTTCCCTGGAAGTCTTCTTGGTAGGCTGTGATATGGTCACTCTTGCCCTGACTCTTCCCTGCCTGCAAGATTCCATGTAATCGTATTGCAACTAAATTAGTTCTGTTCCTATTTGCTGTCTTTTTTTCAAATGAAGCATTTTTCTCGATTATATTCCCAACAGTGAATTTTTATTGACTTTGCAAATAAAAAAAAAAAAAAAGAGATGGCATGATATACACATGTTAGTTGTGTGAAACCATAAAACTTCCATTGCCTATTTGTGCCTATTTGTAGTTTTAACAGTGAGTGCTCGCTGTCATGAAATGTCTTAAAAGTCCTTCACAGCAGATGATCTGTTCCGAGGTCTGACCTGGGGAGAGCACAGATGTATGGAGGTTAGTAAATGCTGTGATGGCTTTTTTTACCTTAGCTGTACCTGTATTACACTGTAGTCCATGATAACGACCAGCCTGTAGTGAGGTTTTGTTTATTTTTTATTAACCATAAGACTTAGTAGTAGTGCATTTAGCACTGTCCAGCTCATTGGAATGTCGCATACTGCTTGCTTTACAATAAATGTGACCATTGTAATGCTTTAACAGATGTCTTCAGTCTGCTCTCTGCATAGTCGGTGTTGAAGCATGATTAGCATTAAAGACAGAGGAGAATGCAGGTGCCTGCATATGCACACCTCTATGATAGTTAAAAGGTTTTTAAAAAGCATTGCAGTATCAACTGACTGGGATGAGAGAGTAATTTAGCAAGTTTTCTAGCTGCTTAACAGGTTCATGTAGAATAGATACTACTACTTCTGTAAATACATTTTTTTCATTATATAATATTTAATATTAGCTATTAGTTGTATTAAGGTATGGTAGGGGGTAACAGGGAAGGATAGCATAGCCTGGGGGGAGGAAGGCCAGAACATTTCAGAAGGGGCTCCCAAGACAGAGCAGCCAGTATTCAAAAATGTTGCAGCAAATCTTGTGCCTGCCCTCTTTAAACTCACACTGGAGAAAATAAGATGGGAACAAGGGACTAGGACTTGTGGGTTGCTTTGTTTGGTTTTCTGTTTCTTCTCCCCCCCAGAGAGACAAACTGCTTCTCATCTGTTGGCATGAGACAGAAGATAAACCTTAGCTGTCAGCAGTGGCTGTGTGAGACTGCCTAGCAAGCTCACTTTTAAGATTTGAACATATGCAGGTACGTGCACACACATTATTGTAGTTGAGGCTGAAAACAAATCTGGTTTTGGTCTCGCACAGGATGTTTTGCATAGGTAACTTCTGCAGATATAGGAAACAACCATGCATTAGTAACCAAATAATCAGATACATTGCCTAGGTGTACACACAAAGCAGCCGCTGTTAAACTCTGGCCATCTCTGAAGAGCTTCTCTGCACTACAGATGGTTCTGGTCCAAAGTCTGCTTCCCATTAAAATGGTTCAGGCTGAATTACCCCGTGGAAGTAGGCACACGAGAAGGGCGTTAGCAGACATGAGGGCATTACAGTTCCCCCTGCTTTTCTGCAAGCACTTTGTAATTGGAAAGATTCAAGTCAATCATTTCTTTGTACAGACAGGCAGCAAGCATACAGCAGGTCTGCTTTATGTATTTTATTTGCCAAAATGACAAATTGAAATTGTAATTCTTCATGATAAAATGAGATTTTATTCTTTACTAAATTAAACTGTTCATACACAAGATTACTTTCCTAATGCCAGATGAGAAAAGTAGTAACAGTTACACTGATTGTCATGATTCAACATGAATTTTAAGAGAAACATTTTTCTTAGTACTAAAATCTCATCTACACTTAATGTCTTACCAGGAAAATCAGAAATGTAATTTTGCTACTATGCTCAAGTTGTTTTAATTAACTTTTATAATTTTTAAATTTTTTTAGATTTAAAAAAGTAGGTACCATGAACTGTACTGAGGAGGTAACTTTAGCACCAGTTGGTCCAGCCTTCCCAGTGGTGATAGGCTCATCACGCCTTCTGACCATGCACTGGAACATGTGTGAGGTCAGGGACTTCTGCTCAGTTCTACCTTCCCACCCCCAGAAGGAAATAAAACCTGTCTCTTTTATTCATCTTCCAGTTTTAAACAAGAAAATCACAACTGTCTTATAATTCGTGTCTTTATAGCATAAGGCAGTACTTAAAAACCCCTTAAAATGTTCATCTTTTAAGCAGCAGCTTCTGTTCTGTAACGACTGACCAATGATGAAAAACAATAGAGAATGAAGATGGTTTGAGTTCTTTAAGCCGTCTTAACCGTTTCGTAATTGTGAATTCTAAAAGTCCTTTATTTAAAAAACAGCTCTTCACAGATTCTTCTTGTATCCTGTGGGGATGTGACGCTGTGGCCTTCTGTTCTGGAGTCTGTGAAAATTTCATAGTCATTCCCTCCCTAACAACAGAAAACAGCACAAGAGGATTTAATGTAGCTTCATGTATAGTCACAGTCTGGGGGTGGAAAAGGGCCACATAGAGGAAATTACAGAAAGAAGGGACATAACACAGTCATGTCGGAGATAGATATCTTTCAGAAAGCTAAAAAACTGCAAACCACCATTTTGAGCATGTGGTTATAGCTCAACTTCTGCTCAACACCACAGACGCTTGCCTGAGACCTCCCTGACCTGCACATTAGAAAGAGTAGGACTCTCAGTATAAGTTTAGCCATGTTCTTTAGTATAGCAACACAGTACTGACTTTTAAAAATTGTTTACTTGTTCCTATTAAAGTGTAAAGCTTGTTACAGAACACTGTACCAGCACACGGTATTTGGAACTTACTTGCATTATCCTCTTCCTTCCAACTTGGTTTCCTTTCCTTTTAATTAAGTGATTGTTAACACTGCTGATCCTTCACTATGGCAGTAGTGTTTTGGCCTTGCTAGCTACTGGTCAGATGTGACATTTGAAAGGTCCTTTCACAGCTGGCTCGAGGAACACAGGCACTGCCACTTGCATGAGCAGAGAGGTCCCTTAAAGCTGCAGCTTCATGCACTACAGGAAGCAGTACCTAATTTGTGTACATTTTATAGGGTTTAACATCAACTGTCCATAAACTCTATGCCAGAAGGGACAAGTGGTGACTTTTGCAGCTGGTGTCAAGGGGGGGAAAAAACCCTTTCCATGTAAAGCTTGTCTTTTTCTTATAAAACTTGGCCTTTTAAGTTTATAAAACTATAAAGTTCTTTGTAACTTACAGTTATAAAACTGGAAGTTCTTATAGAACTAAGCCTTTTCTTATAAAACTTAGCCTGACACTGTCCTTTGGCCATGCTCAGCCTTAATTTCGTCCAAGTCCTTGTGCTTGCTGTCAGGTCTCTGCTCAGTATTTTCAAAAGCCTCTGAATCACCCTGCAGAGTTGCCTGTTAAACACAGACAGGTGCTCACATTTATAATCTGCCTTCAGTTCTTGTCAGGCATAATGCCATTGGTTAGAACCTACAGTGCTTGTGGTTTAAAAGAGCAGCTCTGAAATGTATATACAAAACAATATACTCACTGGCATAGTCTTATCTCCAAAGAAATAAATAGTCTTGTATCCATCGTTGGCAATGATTCCCAAGCAATACCTCTTATCCCAGCCATCTGGGAACACATCGAAGCTTATCTGGCCTCCTAAGATAGACAGGAACCAAGCAAACTTTGTTTTATTATAGGAACACATTTCTGAGGGGAGAGCAAGTGAGGAAAATCTAAACTGGGTAAGACTTTTTCATAGAGGGAGTTTTGCAGAAGTCACAAAAATGTTCCGAGACCCTGGAGTTAAGTCTTAGAGTGTTTTACAGGGTATCAGTCATTACAGTTGTGATTTACAGATTATTATTTACCCATTAAACAAATATGAAAATCTTAGTGTCTTAGTGTTCCCAAACACTGACTGCTCTCAAACAAACTGAACCTTTTTTTTAAAAAAATTACATTTAATCTTTTTATTTTTAGAAAGAAACTACATGAGTGAATATAGCCATCAGTGTATGTACAGCCAGAAAGTCTTATGCAAAGGACCTTCTAAAGTTTTCATACCAGAAAAAGGAGGAAATCAGCCTTTTAAACACAGCCTAACAGGACAACAGCTGTTCCAGTTCCAAATCCTTGGACTTTACCAATACATAAAAGTGCGATTCCCAGTCAAAGTGGATGTCAAAGGTATTTACAACATGCTTTAGGAGCACTCTACTGGCAGTTCATTTCTGCCTTGGTGTTTCAATACCACAGCTCTAATGGCAGCCATACTTTCTTATAATCCTGAGAAACAGTGATGTGGTAATATATTGGGAGAGAGAGAAAAAAATTTAAAAATGCATGGCAAATTAATTCCACCTTATTAGCACTTTTCTCTTTAAGCTTGCACTTGCTTTTGGATTTTCTTTTCCTCCTCCCACACAATGCAGCTACAGAACTGGAGAACCAAGGGCTACTGGAACAGTACTGATGTAGTGTTTCTGATCAAAATCAATTCACAGAAACAACTCTGACTAACCAGGAGCATGTAATATGTTTCAAAGTGAGAAGAATCAATCACACAACTGACATTAAAAGACAATGAACTGATGACAAGCAATGAAGTTCGCTTTGTTGATGGATGTCAATTAAAATGTACCAAATTAAAGCCTAAGAGGAAAAAGAGGTTCAGTCTTGCACGCAATGCCTGGAACCACCCTCAGAGAGATAACTGTCACACAATGTGATAGGATATGTCATATCCATAAGAGAATATTAAGTGAAATGTAAATTAATTTACATTTTAAATGAAATTATTGTAAATGTGATACCTATAGAAAACGTGAGGCCTTTTCCTGCAAATTCTCTTCGTAAATCAGCTACGAATTTCTCTCTTATATGTTCCTTCTGTTTAAAAAAAAAACCAACCAAACAAAAACCACAAAACCAAACATCAGTTACATGCTGTGTTAATTCATCAATAAAAAGATAACCCAAAAAACCACCCCCAAAATATCCAGAGGTCTGAGTACCAGGACCAGTGTGATACAGCTATATTTTGTTATTACTGAAAGCAGGCTGAGCAAATTTCCACTTTAATTTGTTACCAACTTGTAAAAAAAAATGAGAGCAAACCTTCACATACATGCTGAGGTATTTGCTATTCTATCTGAAAACCTTAGAATACTAAGAAGTATGCTTCAGCTGCCAGTAAAATTCAGTTTTACAAACAGGGAGGCCGAGGCACAGGAAGAGTCTCAAAACTGGTACTAATCTTCTGATTTGTAAGATCTGAAGATCCATTTTGAAGATCCATTTTCAGAATGCCCTGGACTTAGCTCTGTTTCTCAGCATGCATTAACTGAGTCCCAGGCAAAGACTGCTTTTGAGGAAGTAGATTTCAGTTTTTATATTAGGTCAGAAACAGTTGTTATGCTGTAGCAGGGAACAGAACTCTGATATCATGGCTCAGATTCATTTCAGCCTTGCACACTTAGCTGTGTGCAAAGGAAAAGAAATGGTGACTAGTTTGACCTCAGCTTTTAAATTCTGCTTTAAAAGGCTTTAAGAGAACAAGAAAAGTCATAGTTTTATTGATCTGAATGGATAGGCTGGTATACTAAGGAGCACTCCAGGTTAGTATGGTGTTATCTACAACAGGGTTTTTCAGGAACCCTGTGTGTGGAGGCAGGTGTTTGGTACTGGGGATATAGGGTTAAAAGAAACATGAGCCAAACCCGCCTCTTCTGCAAGTAATCATTGTTAACTATTGTGTATTATTTCCTGAACTCTGAATTAAGAAGTTAGTTAAACCACATGGAACGGATTAAAATGAAAAAAATTCCAGAGTATGAAAGCTTTTAAAAAACGATAACCTGGCCATAACTGCCTCTTCCAGAAGAGCTGGATATTTTTCAAGAGTTGTAACTCACTTTATCAAGTTCATAGAACTCAATTCGTTCTTCCTGGCTACAGCTTCTGCCAATGGGAGACACATTTAACATCCCGTTTCGGAACTCAATAAAAGTGCCCCTGAAAAGGAATTGATTAATGAGACAGAAAATAGATGAGAAATTGCTCAAGATGCTAACTATCACAAAGAACTTTCATTTAATTCTGAAGACAATGGGAATCAGATGTCTCCTTCAGCCTCTCATTGTATGCATAAAAAACAATGTGTAGGAACCAGTACCTCTAGCATCAAGGAGTCTTTTGGACTTTTATCTGAATCTGGTAACCTCAACATCATCCTTACTGACTTTTAAAAGTATGATTTGGTTTTAAAAGTATGACTGGAGCATCCTGTCAACCCAATTCTCAGACCCTGACAGGCCAGTCTGGCAGCAAAATGTAGAGCAGTCTTGGCAATGTTTCTAGCTAGCCTCACATATGGTACATATTGACGTCTTGGGCAGCTGCACCCTCATGTCACATAGAGCTGATCTTACTGCACAGTTCTAATCTCTGGAAAACATTGTGCTGCCGAATTCCAAACATGTCAAGGAAATACTCCTACCTCCAAATTGAACTTACTTCCCTCTTAAATAAAAATGCTCAATCAGCATTTCAAACTCTGTGCTCCAGTGGGGAGCTTCTCTTTGTGTGCATGGATTGAGCTCTGTTTCATGTATACAGTGTTCCTACACCACAAATTATTCCTATTTTGCTGAGCAGTCTGCTTTACATACTGATGCTCAACACCAGAACACGGGAGAACATGGTGACACTGAGATGCGTGTATGCACATACCTTTTCTTGGGCAGTTTAATCTTCGCAATGTAACTCAGGCAGTAGTTGATTAGATCTTGAAGTATGTCCTCACCCAAGTGACCCTGAATGTTCTAACAAAAGAAATACCAGTCAACCAAGAGTCCAGAAGTGGAGATTCTAAAAACAAGTCACATGGAAAACACAGACGCTGGATAGTCTAGAAACACACATTCAATAACTGTCAGTTGATGCACACAGGGTACTAACTAAAGGCTCTTATTTTACTTTTTGTTTACTTTGTTTCTTTTAAACCATAACACCAAACTCCCAGGTAATGTGGTCCTTACTAGTAGGTGCTTTAGAAGGAAACAGTGTGGGCCAAAGACAGCAGACCTAAACAAAAAGTTGCAGTTAATGTCTACTGTAGCGAATTGTGAAGAAACGGAGATTGTTACTGCAGTAAATTGGAAACCCCTGCTCAAGTCAGCAGTTTCAGCTAGGATCTCTTTTGAAAATTAAATTTTTAAAAAATATTTTTAATTTATTAAAATTTTAATTTAAT